ACTATCCTCCCACCATCCCTGGAATCCTGAGGTCGGCCTTGACTTCTCCCACGTCCTCCACAGTCATCTCGAGGTGCCACATTACTGTCTGTTATTCTCCATCTCACTTCTTTGAATCAAGATTCCGTGAATCATACTGAAAATACATAGCTATTTTATGTACCACTGAGAAAGAAAGGAAGTACTATTTAAAGCATGTCCCCGTGCTTTAATTTCCTAGAAGTTCTATTTTCTACTTACTGAAAAAGCCCTTCTAGAACCATTTAGACACCCATTTTTATGACATAGCATGCTTGTACATAAAGAAAAATGAGAAAATAACAGAAACAAATCACCTGAATACCCTCCAAGATTTTACATCCAGAGCCTGACTCTTCTGAGCCACTTTTTGACTCCGAGTCAAAGGCATCGGTGCTTCGCACGCAGCGTGGGAAAGACGCCCCGCCCTCATCTCTGAATTGCCCCCAAGCCGCTGGCACCTGAACTGCACATCCTGGTGCTGGGGCTTTCTGCCCTGCAGAGTGGGAGGCAATCCTTTTGCACCACTCTCAGGAACACAACGCACATGAGTGTGGCTAGTTGCTTGCTGGCCACACAGCCCTGCCCTCTCAGGCGGCACACAGGTTTGCAAAGTGAACGGGCTCCTCTCTGCTCCTCTGTTGAGGGAGAACCTATTTCTCCTCCTGAAATCTAGGCTAGTTTATGATATCCTGCTGGAAGATGAGAGGCCACATGGAAGAGAACCAAAATGCTCAACAACCAGCACTAGCTGCCAGATGTGTTGGTGAGGCCAGCTTGGACATCCCAATCTAGCGAAACTTCCGCTGAACCCAGCCTCATAAGCAACCAAGGTGAAACCCGCCCAAGACTTGTGCAGCCAACCCACAGGACTAAGAGAAATCATAAACCCTTGTTGCCTGAAGTCCCTGGGTTTGGGGATGGCTTGTTATACCACGTAGTTCACTAACACTGGCAGCTGCAACTTTTTTTGTCAACCTCCCTGTCTCAGGTCCTACACAATAGCTGGTTGTCACTCTGCAAGAATAAATGGAATTGAAGAATATACTCAATCAATAGCAAATCTGCAACTTGATGTTCTACATTTAGGCCTTTAGGCGTATATAATAACTTTTTGTTTCAAATCTCATAGAAAAATCATTTTGAGGATATTTTACACCCAACATGTACAGAATCAACCCTGTACACAATTGAAGACACAAATGAGCAGCTACAGCCAAGTTTCTCCATGAGCAACCAGCACCTGCAACATGGCTGCCCACAGGAGTCCTGAGACGCTGTCGACGTCAGATGCACCTGTTCCAGGGATGTTGGGATGTGGGAACACGCCCTCCATAGAATCAATGATACACAGCATCTCTCAAGTCCCACTGCTCTGCTCTACCTGTCACCTCACTGGGAATGTCACAGTTGCTCAGGACCAGCCCCTCCCTGTCTATCTTGCTCCCTTTCCAGTCCATACAATTTATTCCATCAGTAGTATTAAGTACCAAGTGGATATGGTGCATTTTACTCCCTTGCTGAAATCTGGATCCCTGCAAATAAAAATGTCTTCCTGGGGAGCCCAGCTCCCCTGACCCCCTACCTGCCCACTCTCACAATGCTTTTCCCCATGGGTATCAAGTGTTTCTTCCTGACTCCATTGGGCAGTGTTGATGGGGAGACATAGGCAGATGTGGAAGTTAAACAGCTTACAGGAGAAGCATCAATGATCTATTGCAACTGTGGAGGTGGGGAGGTTGGTGCTGGTGGAATCTGGGGTGATTTAATTACCAAGATTTAAGTTACTGAGCAGGAGGGCTGGATGAGGTCTGCTAGGGTTACTCTCATGCTTATTGACACTCTGCCTTCTCCAATCGTGGAAACTTACACTCCACTCATCTTTGTGTCTCTAGTGCTAGTGGAGTGTGCTTAGCAGGCTGCCAACACCTCACCACGGCCTCATGGATGACCAGATGAATCAACAAGTACCCCTTTCAGGCCTGATATCCTGTGGGTCACAAGTTCCAGGTCATGTTTGCGATATGTTCATTGAAGAATCAAGAAAGACTTTCTGCTTTGTATTCTAGATACTTGTTTTTAAGCTTGCAAATTTAAAAGAAAATCCAGCATCCAATTTTAAAGAAAGCTGATACTTGGATTGGCTGATGTCATTAGAATGTGCACACCACCAAGGGTCCCAACAGCCCCCCTATTCCACAAGGTAATATCTTAATGAAAGAGCACTCCTGTATTTTTTTTAATTTTGTACCTTCTTTTCCAAAAAGATGTTGTGGCAATTCACACAGAAAATCGATAAAAGAGGTTTAACAAGTTAGAAATGGAAAACCTGGGGCAAGCAAGTAAAGAAACAAACACATTTATCATAAATGGCTAAGTTGCTGTGAATCATCATAAATTCTAGCCTCAGAGAAGTCCTGTGTGTGGAATTCTTTTCATTCTTAGAAATACACCCACTCTTCAAAATGAGGCCAAAAAATTTAATGCTGAGTTTTAAGATAACACATCTTTACAGGTGTAGACCTTTATATAAGGGACAATGAATAGAGTAAGGCATATCATTTTTGTAATCTCAATGATCATCCTTCATTCATCCATCCAACAAACAGCTAATATTAAAATGTGTTTCTTAGAGAAAGAAAATCCAAAATAAATAAGGCTATCATTCAACTCAAGAAGCTACAAAAAATAACAAGAGTCAATTCAGAAGAAAAGTCTTGGCAATAAAAGCCAGAGAAGGACAACATGAGAAAGAAGTCAGACAGGCTAAGCTCACTCATGAGCAGACATGCAGAAATCTCCAATAAAATCTGGCAAAACATATTCAGAAAAACATTTTTTAAAACATCAGGCTTAATCAGTGAATGAAGTTGGATAAGGACCGTGGTCGTGAACTCGGCGTGAACACTCAGGTCAGCAGTGTCGTTATTTCCAGCAACACCACACTGCATTAGTGCAAGTGCAGAGGAAGTGCAGGCTGGGCTCACCCAGGGCTGGACACTTGCCAGGTGCACACCGTGGCTGACGGGTGAGAAAGTCAAACCTATCTGCAGAAGAGTGATTAAAAATGGCAATCATGAAATCTGGGCTGCAACAGCAGAAAAGCAAAGCCCAGGGCTACCTGTTAAGTTACTGGGAAAGAACAGATAAGGACAATACGGACCCTCAAAGCCAGCGTGTCACAGTAGGGAGGGGACTTCAGCCAATGAGCCAGGCAGACAGGCACTGGAAAGAGTACATGTTCAACAGCTTTGTCGAATAAATATTAATGTCAAAAGAACCACTAAAAGTCAGTTTTCGTAGGATGATCAGGGATAGAGGAGGATCACGTAAACAGTTACAAGGACTGGTAAGCCCCTCTAGGACCCAGCTTCTGCAAACCTTCCTAGTCCTGGATCCTGATACCTCCTTGTCATCCTTCCTCATGTTTTATGCTGCAACTTCAAACTGTGTGATCAGCACACACACACACACACACACACATATGCATCCATACACATAGGTACACAGGCATCCACAAACACAAATAAATGCATCTACACACACACGTGCATCCATATACACAGATGTAACCATATGAATACCCATGCGTGCATCCATACAAACATATGCCTCTGTACACGTGCATATGCATCCACACATGTGCATGTGAATACATACATACACATATATGTATTCATATGCACGTGCACACACACATCATACACATGCATCCATTCATACACATATGTACTCATGCACATATGCACACATATGCATCCATACACACACCTCCAAACATATTTATACAACACATATGCATCCATACACACATCCATACAACATATGCATGCAACATATCCATACAACATATATGCATCCATACACACATCCACACACATATGCATCCATATGTACACACGCATGTAGTCATATGCACACACATGCATCCATACACACACATGCATCTATACATACACATATGTACTCATGCACACATGCACACATATGCATCCATACACATACACCTCTAAACATACATATTTATATGCCAACACATATGCATCCATTAACACAGGCATACACACATATGCATCCATATGTATACACACGTCATGTGCACACACATACGTCCCTACACATACATATGCACATCCATGTGCATTCATACACACATGTACTCCAATGCACACATGCACATATGCCTCCATACACACACATGCATTCATACATACACATGCATGCCTCCATAAACACTTATGTATTTAAAAATACATATGTGCATCCATACATACACATGCACCTATAACACATGCATATACACATATGCATCTATACATGCACGTGCACCTATACACACATGTATTCATATGCACACACATGCATCCACACATACACATGCATCCATGTACACATACATATGCATCCATTCACACATATGTATTCATATGCACTCACACACACATATGCATCCATACACACATGCCTCCACACACATGTATTTATACACACACATGCACCCGTACATACATGCACATATGTATTCACACACATATGTATTCACACACATATGTATTCACACACATGTGCATGCAGTGAGCTGCTTCTCCCACTGCTGCCTTACTGTCACATCTGCCTGGAATGTCCTCCTCCCACCCCCATGCCAGAGCCCACTGCCACTCATGCCAAGCTTGAATCAGTTACTCTCCTCCCTGTCCCATAAAAGTTCAAATATACTTTTGTCTTCACATCTGCTGGGTTGCATTATAAAATACCTGTGTGTGCCTCTCAGCTCTGGACTCTGTGTTCCAAACATAAACTTCCTCTCCTATTCACACCATTCTCAGAAGTGCACCTGATTTTTCTTTATAAGCCTGGCACTGATGCTGGCCCAGAAAGCTCTGTTTACAGCTTGGGCCCTCACCCTGCACTGTGCCCTTCTTAATGCCAGAAGACGCCAGAATCAGAAACAAGTTACTTACTTGTTTTTAAAAGTTACTTACTTTTTTCTTTCTCTGTGAGTTTTTTTCAACATTCGCATATCTTCTGCAAGACAAAAGATGTTGAACTTGAAATGTAAAGCCCGGCCCTAAGTTGTCTCTATAAAATGCAGTCTGCAGCCTTGTCCTTAGGTGAGAAGTAACCACGAGGAGGAGCAAGCTGTCCACAGAGGACACGGCTCATGGCAACAATGATTTCCCAGCCTCAGGAGCAGAAAATGCCCCAGGAATCTGTTCAATTTCCTTCCTGGAGATCAGATGGCCCATCCTCCTTCTACCACAGCAAAGAGTCCGTGTCCACCGGCTGCCTTTGCAAGTGCACACATCCCATTTCTAATTCCTCTTTAGTGAGGCTTTCTCCAATAGCTGCTACTCAAATTTGGAAATGCTTGTACCCCAGGATTCTCTGCAAATTCAGAGCACCTCCTTGGTCTATTCTGTGTAAGTCACACGAACTTCAGTCTCTGAGCGACTGCATGTGGCCTCCTGTTGACCCTTAAGCTCAACAACTTTGGCGAAGGGGAAAGATATTTAAGCCAGTCAGACTCAGTCAGGGATTCCCAATGAACAGACAGTGGCAAAAAGCAAAACACTTTAAGAGACGGGAAACACGTGGGGGGCAGGTAGAAAGAATGACTCAGCTCCAGAGCCCCATGGTGTTCCTCCTCACTGTGCTATCAGGACTGTTAGCACGAATTAAGTCAATAAAATCAAGAAACATCCACGTGTGCCAGGCATGCAGGTGGGACTCTAATCTAACCATCTGCCTGGATATCAAACTGCTGTGGGGTCATCCTTGGTAGACAGGACAAAAGGAGCCTTTCTCTGCCTTGAGGTACAAACCCTAGCAGCACGTGAACCAGAACGGGAGGAGGCCATCCCGGATGCTGCACCCTCAGTGGAGGTTCAAGCTCTCCAAATGCAGAAGGCGCTCATGCCACAAAACCTAAAGGGTAGAGGAAGGCTGGCCACCTGCATGGTGTTCAAACCATCTGTCCTGCTCCACAATTAGATGAAAAATGGCAGCTTTTTTTCTTTGCTCAAGATAATGATCACTGAAAACTTGATGAAGAGCTAGCTCCAGGAAGATTCCTAGTAAGCCCTCAAGTCGTGTCCTACACAAAATGCATTTCAAACACACCCATCAGGGCTAAACAATTAAGGATGAAGAATCCCACAGATGGGCTTCGGAACTACCCGTCTCAGTACCCTTCAGCTCCCTCCTGGTCACTGCTTTGTGTCCGTAAACACACACACAGTGAGGCACCCGCTTAGCCACGCTCAGGATTACTACAAAAATCATGGCTTTCTTCACCAAGAGAGATGGACATCCAGCACAAATTGTGTATTTTAGATATGGGAAAGCAAGCCAAATTAAGAAAACAAAGTATCATGCTGGGTGCATCATGGGCAGGCCTAACTGTGCCTAGCATTAGCTCTGAAGCTGTATCGCACATTTCAATTCTTGATCTCTAAGACTCCTGGTATCCCAGAGAAAAGCAGTGGACTCCGTGTAGATCTTGCTGTCCTTGTGAATACATCATACAAGAGCAGTTCCCCCACGCCTCATTTTTTAAAATCTAAAATTGTATCATATATAAGAATATTACATTTCACTACTGAAAAGTAACCAATAGCTGAACTGGACCTATTTGGGAGAGATACTTGGGAAAAGGCTAATTTTTTCCCAAAACTCAACAAAGAAAGGTACAAAGCATGCTCACTGTTGGACCTCACTGGGCACCCTTGGAGACTTCCAGTAAGGAAAATATTTGAAGGTCTCCAGTCCCGCAGCAACATAAAAGTGATTGTCTTGCAAATCCTTTGAGTCGCCCAAAAGATGCCCATTCATTGTAAATAATCTGTAAAAACAGAAAGAAGAAATGGGATAGAGACTTGAGGACCAGTAGCAAGTATTTGTGCCTACACTACGACTAGTGCACAGACTGCTGGACAAACAGTGCTCATCATAAGCAAGTGGTATCCAAACGGGCCAATTAAACCCGACGGGAGCTGCTCTTCCAGGATTAGACTTGCTTTCCACTTTTAGATTTTTTAATTAAAGTATATTTTTAATTATATACAAGTGCTCAGAGGCTCTTGAGAACATGTTACACTCTTGGTTAGTGTTCAATTAATTTTAACTAATAACAGCTAAAATTAATACAAATTGGCCCATATTGTTAGAACAATACTTGGAAAACAAACCAGGATTTATTAGCAAATAATATGCATTTGTATAAGCACCAAAAGACTAATATTAGTTTCCTTTTTACTCAGTAATCCTTTTCGGCAGGTACTCCTTCACTAGTTTATTTAGAAATGATTCCATTAATTCAATGCTGAGCCTCCATATGCATAAGACGATGAGGTAGGCAATGCATTGATAAAAATAAGCATAAGAAAGTCTCTACCTCCCCAAAGTCATATGAAACCATAAAACAGAAGCACACAAAAGCCCACAAAGCTAAATATGACAAGAGAAGTGCAAACGGTTGGGGTCCAAGAGGAGAAAGGCAGAGCCCAGTTGCAGGCTTCACAGAGCTGGAGGAATTTGCAATGGGGTCGGGAGGGTGAGTGGGATTTCATCACTACAGACGGGATGAAGCCATCTCGGCAGGAGGGTGCTGTGCACAAAGTCAGACGCCAGGGTGGGGAGGGGAGCTGACAGTCACTGAGGGTGAGGTGCAGGCACAGCCGTGAATGCGCGGGACAGGGGCGGTTTCCAAAGGGCCTTGAATTCCGGGGAGGAGCATTTATCATTAATTGCATCGGAACGAAGATTTCCAAGGAAGAGGGGATAAGGGCTATGTTTTAGCACTAGTGAGCGGGCAGCTGTGGCCAGGACGTGACTGAGGAAGAATTGCCCCTGTGGGAGGAGGCTCAGAGCTTCTGCAAGAGCCTGAGATGAAGGAATGAATCAGGGCAGGAAATGCAGGGGCAGAACAAGAGAAGAAATGCAGGGGGCATGGAAAGGAGGAATCTACAGAACCTATCCCTCCGCAGAGCTGGGCGTCAGAGCTGCCCAGAAGGCTAGCTTCAGAGTGCTGGGCCCCACCGCAGAGCTCCCAGCTCAGGAGGCCTGGATAAGGCCTGTGTGTGGCATTTCTAACAAGCTCCTGGCTGAAACACTGCTGATGCTCCTGGACCCCATCCCGAGAGCCGCTGCCTGAGACTGACCCTAGAAGCATCAAGACGGGAACCTGGGAGAGGCATGGCGGAGCTGCACCTGGGGGCCCGCCTGGAACGGAGGCTTCCATGATAAACCCAATGCTTGGAATTCTGTTCTCCTCCCGCCGGGACCTGGGGACAGTCAGTCCCCTCTGGTGACTTGGACAGCCAGTGCCAGAATCCCCAGGAGTAAATCAGGAACATGCAGAAGCCTCACCAGGGAAGTGGGGGACTGACGGTGGTCCTAAGGAGAGGGCGTCCCCAAAGCGACTGCTCCCGGGGGCCAAACAGCAAGGCTCTGAAGGGTGGGAACAGACGAACCAAGAATTCACACACAAATATGCAAAATAACATCAAAGCGATGGCAGATATTCCCAGCATGAAACAAGAATATGAAACCATAACACAGAAGCAAGTAGAAATACTGATGTGAAACTCAAGTCGTGGAAAGAAAGATCACAATAGGGGTGAATCGTAGAATGGACATGGAGGAGGTGCAAGCTGCTGTTTGGAGGTAAAACTGAGGAATGCCCTTAGAGGAAAGGAGGGAGGAAGAAAGAAACAGGATCCGCAAAAGAAGAGCTAAGAAATGAGGGTGAGCAGACGTGCCAACACCAGCGACAAGAATTCCAAAAGGAAGTTACAGTAAGAGTGGAAGGAGAAAATATGTATAGAAATCATGAAAACTAATTTCCCGGAATTGAGGAAAGAGGACAAGCCACAGGTAAAAGAGTCCACAGATGTCAAAGAACAGAAAGTACAGGAAAACTCGCCGGCAGACACCTGGGTGTGACACCCAAGGTCACAGACGGCATCCTCAAGGCGCTGGGGAGGAAGACCTGGCCGCACCGCCTGGCAGGACAGGACTGACTGAGGCCTTTTGGCAGCAACACAGACAGGAAAGACGCTGATATTTTCAGAATCTAGAAGGAAAGAACAGTAAAGCCAGCCAGACCCTCAGGTAAACACAAGGGACGAGATAAAAATGTCCTCAGGCTTACAAGGCCTCAGGAGATTTGCCACACAGAGACCCACGCCAAGAACATTTTTAGTAGACGTGGTTAAACAAGAGGGACAGCGAATCCAGGAGTTGCTATGAGAATGGTGTGAAGTAAAGGTGACCAAATATAAGGACCAATTTGCTTTGTCTTTTTTAAAAAAGCTAAGATCAAATAAAACATATTCATCATAACCCAAACTTCAAATTCTCGATCATAGCCATGAGATAGGGGATGCTGAGGGGAGCCAAGGGACATAAAATTGTGCTTATGTTCTTGGCTGGGGACAGCGAACACGCAGAAATCAATCAGCTCAGAATCTCCAAGGCTTGGTGACTGGCAGATGAGGGAGAAGATGTGTGCAGTGTCCAGCATGGGTCCAGGGATTCTGGGTGCCCAGGAGAATGATGGAGCCAGGAACAGGCAGAGGAAGGCAAGGAGTGGGGCTGATGGCTTGCGGTGGAGGCGGGTAGAGGGGAAAATGAGCTGTCAGCAACTGGGTAACGGTAAAAAATGCACCTGAAAAAACTCAACTGGAATGTCTCCGCATAAACCAAAGGCATTTCAGGTTTTCCTTCCAGCAGCAGGGGCCTTGCAGGAATGAAGCTGGTTGTTTTTACGTTCATTTGTTTGCTTCTAGGAAGTTGTGTTCTTTTCATTCAGGGATGGAACCACAGACACCAAAGAAGAGGACTCTGGGTGGCTCAATGCAAGACTCGGGAGGTGCCCGCTGAGTGAGACAGAGCCATGGCCACCAAACTGTGGTTTAAACCCTACAGGGCCAACAGGACACCTGGCCGCCCACACACTGGAGGAACAAACGGTTCAGGCATGCTCCCCTCGGACTCTTCCCTAAACTCATCTCGGCCTCATTTTCTTCTAAGAGAGGTACAAAGTCTACTCACAGGGTGAAGGGTAAGTAGAAATTCCTCAGTGGGATAAGACAGGAAGGAAGTTCCAGATAGAAAATGACACATCCATCCATGTGAAAATGTGAGCCTGTATGTGATGTTCAGATTACACCTACACAGACATACAAATGTGAGCTGGGAACACACACAGAGAACAGCGGCTTTTACTGAAGTGTGAGTCTCACAGAAATGAATAGCAAGAATGTGGATATCAAATGAGATCATGCACATAAATCAAAGTGTTTTGCATCATAAAATGCTAAGCACTAGGTATTTCGATTATTACTTGTATCAGAAAATCTGAGGACTAAATGAAACAGCCATTTGCAAAATTGTTTTGTAAATTGGAAAACATTACAAAAATGTCTATTAAATTATTTTTAATGAACCTTAAAGATTGGGGATATAGTAGGAAATATAAATATCTCTAAATCCTTTACCAATAAACAGCCAATTTGGCTGTTTTCCCAAAATAAAGGTACAGTCTATCTCACAGGAATTTTAAAATATTTATGTTTAACGAGCTTCAAGACCATGTAGTGATTAAAAGACAGACCTGACTTTCAGCTAAGGCTTCAAAATCTCTGGAAGCAGGGTCTCACTGGGCACCCTGAACCCTGGACTCCGAGTCCATGAGTCTCAGCTGTTAGTTCAGCTAGTTTCCTCACTATTAAGGGACTAAAAAATATATATATATTTATCAGACAGGTTCCCAAACTTTAAGGGGCTTAAAATATAGTGGAGAAGAGATGACAAGTTCACAAATAACCACAGTCCAAGGTTGATGGGCTATTTATCAGGAAGCTGAACCCAGGACTCAGTCTTCAGGTCTCTCCTCCAACACTAACTCCATCCCACCCAGCACCTCAACCGCCAGTACCATCCACAACACTCAGACCGTGTGTCATTTCTCCAGCCTGACCTCTTCCCTGACTTCACACTCACATATCCAGCCTGGCACATCCCCACTCTGACGTCCAATATACCTCGCCAACTGGACACATCCAAAAATTCATTCTGAACTCCCCCAAAACCTGTTCCTCCTCCCACTTCCCCTTCTCAGGAATGGTACCGACAGTCACCCAGCTGCTCTGATCAGAAGGCTGGGAGTCTTCCTCCTTTCTCCCTCCTCTCCCCTCCCGTGTTGCCTCCCCCATCACACACTCCCCACCCCCACCCCACCCCCACCTCTAGCTCACTCTTCCTGCATGAGGTTGATCAGCAAGCCCCATCACCTACAGTAACGCAGCCAGAGCCTGCCTGCCTTGGCCCCGGCCACTGTGGTCTCCCCGGGATCACCTGCAGGAGCCTCTAAACAAGTCTTCCATCCCACCCCGTAGTCAGGTGACGACACTCCTTGCTCAGAACCCACCAATGGATTCCCACCACACTCACTGCCCAAGCCTCTCAGCGAGGTCTACAAGCCAGTCTTCACTCCCAGACTCAGCAGCTCCCGCCCTCCCTCACCAGGCACTGCCCTGCCACCGGTGGCTTCCCACCGCGGAGCCTGTGCGCCTGAGGGTCCCTCTGATCGGGACGATCTCCATCCAGATCACGATGCGTTTTACTTCTCTGTGCCATTCAGATGTGTTCTCAAATGTCACCTCCTCAGAGAAGCCTGCCCTGACCAGCCCAGTCACTCACCCCAAGCCCGGCCCTGCTTCATTCCTCTGTGCCACCCTTCACGGGGCATTCATCAGGGATCTGCTCCTGAGCGTGCATCTGTCATCTCTCCACTAGACAACGTCTGCCCTGCGAGGACCATACTCACCCCATCCCCAT